GACTGTTCGTTCAATAACTCAAAGCATTTGTCCATCTCCTCTTGTGTGGAGCAGATGGAAAATTATTATTATTAATTAAAATTAAATTAAAATTAGTTATAATTACTTAAGTTAACAACACAACGTAATTACATGAGAATCGACGACAACATTAATTTATTAGCAATACAACAGTTAATATCATTATAACTTAACCAAATGAATTTGTAAAGAAAGATTAAGCGGGAGGGAAATGGGCGCGGCTACGTCCAAGCGAATGGCGTTGGGCGTAAGGTCAAGGCTCGGGTCGCGGGGTTTAGTCCCTAAGCAGTGAGATGTGCCTAATAACATGCCTGGTGGTGTGACTGATGGCTACAAGGTGCTGTGTCTTACTGCATTACTGCAACAAGGAATTACTGCAACTTCCTTGGTCATCCATCTACTCCATTTCATATTCTTACAGTAGGACAAACCACTAGTTCAAGAAATAATGACGAGTTAATGTACATGACAGATCACAGTTCAGATGATTTGGCTCCTTGAAGTACATAAGTAAGAAAGTAAGAAGAATATTCTATCTCTGTTATTTGCAGCAATAACGTTTAATAGAAAAACGAAACACGTGTAACGAAGTGCTGTGGCTTAGACAAGCAGTGGTGTATACATGAGTTCGATCCTGCGTCCTAGGCTCACCGAGCCCTCCATCCCTCCGGGGTTGGTAAATTGGTACCAGACTTCTCTAAGAGGATAACAGTGCGGACTTGATACATCCGTAGGCCATCGTGAGTTAGTGTATACGCTAGAGTGGATTCAATATCCTCCAACGATTTTTGAAGTCGAATGCATGGCGCATCCCACAGAGGTTGACGTACGCTGACAGCCTTATCTTTCCCCTTCCGACCGTAATAATGGCAACAATGATATTATTGATTTTCATAATTTTTCAACATTATTAATAACGATAATATTAGATTTGAATCTCCAAACGAATAACCCTGCGAATACATGATTGTGAATTATAGTAAGCCTACTTCTTAGTATTCCTTGTTTGATAAGCTTACGCGAGGTTGTTCCCAAATACCTATCTGGCGACAGTTTCGACGTATTCGCCTTTCGGAGCCGATGATCTGAGTCGATGGTCTACAGTTATTCGTCTTCTCGATATGACGTCTTCGTGTTCGTGTCGAGCCGGAAAACCACTTCGCTACTTCTTGGAAAAAAGCTACTTCTTAGCCTTGGTAATTGAACGACCAGTAATAAGTAGCTAAAGGGAATTTTGCTATCATTATCGAAACAAGAAGTAGTGATACCGCGCCGCGTTGTACGCAGATTGACCGCCGACCATGTTTAGCGCACGGTTTTCGAACATCGCAGTATAATCTATGTATGAAGTCACTTCATAAAATCAGATGAGTTCCTTAAGTCGTACTTTGATTTCCTAGTTTGTCGGGGAATTCTTCTATGAACTATTGTAAACCTTTCGGTAAATTGCTACCAGATTTGTCTGTGAGGATAGCAGCACTGGCTCGATACATTAGTAAGCCACCGTGAGTCATTGTAAAGGCCGGATGTGCATTCAGTCACCTCCAACGATGAAGTCGAGACCTTAATCCTTTTTATCCCTTATCTAAACCTAACTATTTCCGGCTGAAAAACTGGTATCCCGCTTGTTGTCTTTTTTAAAATAAAAATGGAAAAAAGATTCCGACTGTCTTTCTGCAACTGGTGTTGTTGTTGAGTTGTAGACAACCGTTATGACTTCTGTGAAAGTGAACATCCACCTTGTTTTACTATTCTTTCAAATTAATAGGAAATTAACTCACTAAACCGCCAGCAAACTCTCAATTTATTCCCATTAACATAACGAAAACGACCTTATATCTAAGTATTCAGTAATCGGCTTCTTATGTTCGGCAAGTTTACAAAACCCGAGAAAAAGCTTAATACTTTTAAGGTAAAGCCCAACTATAAGTATGTCCACACCGGCAACTTTGGTTCTTCTGGAAGAAATCTAGTTTTCGGCTAGCCTAACCTATTTCCCAAGGTCTACATAGGTCCGCGACTGCTTGCGGTGCCCACCTTATGTCAGCATAATTGGTTGTTATTCGTTGAGTGACTGAAGTTGACGCCGTTAAAGCCTCCGTTTTTTCGTGCCTGCGTCATAGTTGACCAGTGGTTTCCTCTTCCTGAAGCGACATGAACAACAGCTCGTTTTCATTCCAGAATCCTCGTGAATAATTCTGGCCATTGGATCGGTCATTGTTACTCTGTGTGTAACCCGATTGCTAATGGTTGTACATCTATTAGCTATCGTTAAAACGCATCCCTCGTTAGAGGATAAAAAAAAGGATAAAGCTTTTGGCGCTGATCAATCCCTGAGGGATGCGCCGTGCATTCAACTTCATTAAGTATAGTTGGAGGTGAATGAATGCATATCTGGCCTTTACAATGACTCGCCGTGGCCTACCGATGCATCGAGCCAGTGCTGCTATCCTCCCAGACAAGTCTGGTGCTAATTTGCCGACTCCGGAGGGATGGGGGGCTTGGTGGGCCATGGGCGCTGGGTTCGATTCCACGTGTGTGTGTGTGTGTCACAGTGGCGCCTCCAATCACTGGGCCACACTCGCCCACCATCGCTCGAGACAAGTCGATTTCTGACATCTTGGCATTTACCGTCTCAAGTGTGATTGTTAACGAAAACTTTTGGACTTCGGATCCTCTCGCTCACTTGCATGGTCACAGAGATTACAAATCGGCTAGGGGCGCAGGAAATTCGCAACAAATGTGACAGAGATTCATATTGAGAAATCCAGTCTCGTTTAATTAGACGTCAGAAGCTTAGATGATAAAGCAAAATGACCAACGAGGACTATATTTCTTTCGGTTTCGTTTCATTAGTGCCATTACTTAAAACCGACTCATGATAAAGAGAACATTCCAATCTCCTCACGTTGTTAATTCATAGACCAACAACACAGCCCTTGATCCATCATAATAAACCCTGGACCGAAGTTGCCTCATAGAAGAGTTTTTAAATTGAAAAAAAAACTTAGTATTAGCACTAGAACCGCACCGTTGGTTTTCGACTAAATTTCACAAAAACGATGTTCATGAAGAACGGATTGGTTTCGCATGCCCCATTCACGCTCAACGGCACAAATATCTCCGAATGCTCCAATTATATCTATCTAGGTCGGGAAATCAATATGATGATTGAACAGATATGATGATTGATGATGATTGACCTAGCTCCAGAGCTGAGTAGAAGAAAACGAGCGGCTTGGGGAGTTTTCAAGAGCATCGAGGATGTAGTGAAGAGAACAAAGAACACCCGACTCCGTGCCCACTTTTTCGACTCAACGGTACTTCCTGCCCTAATGTATTCGTCAGAAACCTGGTCGCTGCATAAACAGGGTGAAAGGTCACTCAGCGTTATCGAACGCGCGGTCGAAAGAACGATGGTAGGAGTATGAAATGCTGAGATATTTGCAAAACTCCGGACCACTGGTGTACGCAGTGGGGAACGAACACGCGCTGTTGTCCTTACCGGGGAGCAGCGCACTTCACCACTACACCATCCGGGTCCGGACTTCGGTCCAGGGTTTATTATGACGGATCAAGGGCTGTGTTGTTGGTCTATGAATTAACAACGTGAGGAGATTGGAATGTTCTCTTTATCATGAGTCGGTTTTAAGTAATGGCACTAAGACCCGGATGGTGTAGTGGTGAAGTGCGCTGCTCCCCGGTAAGGACAACAGCGCGTGTTCGTTCTCCACTGCATACACCTGTGGTCCGGAGTTTTGCAAATATCTCAGCATTTCATACGAGTTATATTTCGCAACATAACCTGCCATTAAGAAGGAAAAAGGCAGTAAATAAAAGAGAAGATGGTAGGAGTATCCCGTTCCACACAAGTAAGGATGGGATCCGAAGTTCCGATCTGCGTCAGCGATCAAAAATCAAAGATGTCGTTCTGTACGCAAAACAGTTGAAGATAAGGTGAGCCGGACACGTAATGCGTATGAATGACAGCCGATGGACAAGAGCCGGTAATGACTGGATTCTTCGGAATGTCAAACGTACTGCAGGAAGACCACCGACCCGATGGTCGGAGTTCTTCACGAAGAGCCTAGAAGAAAAAATGATGCTCGACGAGTCCCTAGAGCGAGAAGAGCCCACTGAGCTACTCTTGCACGCGACAGGGAAAAATGGAAGATTTACTGGCGCCCGCTCGAGTCACTTAACAATCAAAGGAACTACAGGTGATACAGGTGATACCGCGTCGTATGAAATACTTCGATGATGTGTGCGGTTGTTGATAGAGGTATTGCTGTTGTGCGTATTTACATCTTTCCTATAGCACAAATTTCTACGTGTTACGGGTTTTCCGGACTGCGTTTTTATTTTGTTAAAGCGGCTTTTCCCGGTGATGTTCTACAACCATACATCATTTCATACTCCTAGATTTACGGATTCCGTAAAGTTGATCTGCAACGGATTTTTGCTTTAATAAATGAATTTACCCCAATGTTAAGTATCAGGTTTTGTCATTTGTTGGTGGCAGTTAGCAGGTGAGGCGGTGGCTTTGTGTGCCATCCTCTAAACTCACCCACTAAATGTCTTGACTTCGAAATGATACAAAAGAATCGAAAACCTTGGCAGGAATTTGTCCTTTGGATTCATCAAAATCTAGTTGATATTTCGATCACTATTTCTTCATCGGAGGCGCATGTAACGCAGTGGTTAGACGTGCCCTACAATACATATGGGTTCGGTCCAGCACTCCAGGTTCATCAAGCTTTCCATCTCACCGGGGTCAGCAAATTAATACCAAATCACGTCTTGGAGGATATCAGCACTAACTCGAAACATTGCTATGTCACAGCGAGTCATCGTATTAGAGATTAACGCCGAATGCTTTATCCTTCTCACTTTTTGTTTTTCCATCGTTTGATTTCGTTTCATGTCGTTATTCATGGTTTTTACTAGTATTCTATTAACCTATTTGACTTATTGCAGATATGACAATACTCAGTTGGGATGTGACCTGGCTGAGTATTATTTTCGTCGCTTCGTTTTGCGAAGCAGTCGAGGTGTATACCAACCACTTTCATGTCCACACCAAGGGATCGGGATTAGAAAACGCCCACAAAATTGCCAAGAGACATGGTTTCATCAACAGAGGATCGGTGAGTCTGACATAATCAGAGAAATTTTACTGTGTGTTAGTATTGAGAAGCAGATTAACTATAATTCGCCTAGGAAATGCAGATTAAGCATGCTCCACGAAATATGTAACTCTGCGTCGAATAGTTAGTAAATGCATTGAAAAACCCTAGGAATCGGAAGCATACTGTGTCGACGTCATATTAGGGAACGAACGATCTCTCTCATGAATGCACTAAGGGTTGAGTTTAGAAAACATACACAAGAAGTTCAATAAAATGGCGTATTCTTAAATATTTAGCACGGTCGGTAAAAATTACAACTCAACGGGCCATGCTAATTTTTTGATGACTACCGATAATTTTTGTTAGCTGGGGCGGTTAAGGAGTTTAAAACCTCGAACCTAAGACCAGCAGCGGAAAACATCAGCGATACGTTAAGGGATACTATTGCAATCAGTTCTAAAAAGTCGCGACTATTCATTCGCTCTGACTTTCAAAATATGAGACTCAACGAATAAATTTAGAGAATGAATACTTTGCGTAGGCTTAATCATCTTCGGAATATCTACAGATTCTCGTGGTTTTTGCTTGAATTAGCAAATTTCACACGGAAGGTGCGGTTAGCGCAGTGGTAGTAATGGTATTCATCACGAGCATGGTATTGGTTCGACCCCAAGAACTTGGAAATGCCTTAGACCGGCTATCTCCAACTTCGCAAAGAGAATCGGCTCGATCTGCATTCAGCAACATTTATAAAGAAGACGAAATCCTCAAGCAGCGGAACCCACACGTGGACACTTCGAAGACCTTTGTGGACGATAAATTCGAAGAGAACGAATGTTAAGCAAGTAGAGCTGAAGTCCGCAAAGTAGACGTGAAGATAAGTCGTTTGAAAAGAAAGTGGAACTTCACTAAGAGTTTAGATACACCGGTACATTATTTTCGCGCTGAACGCATTCAAATCAATGCGTTTGGTCCGTCGACTTGGTTCAAAATTCAGCTGGTACGTAAGAAATTACAGTTTGGTAGGCTTGCTCTGTGATGCGAAGTCGTGCCAAGCGCAAGCGCATGTTCTCTAAGGAAGAGTTCGGAAATGCGCATTTATTTCAAGCACCCAATAACTGGAATTGAATTTAAATGTTCTGCGGTAGATAAGTAGAAGATCCTTTTTTATTGATTAATGTAGCATCAGCTTCATTTCATTGAGTGTTCTCTGACGCTTCTCATTGCGTTGCTTTATTTGCGCTAACAAGCCCGTCTTTCTCTTCTTGCCTCTTCATATTCTTCACAAAGTACTATGATGCGATTAGTGGTCGCTTTAAGTAATGTTGCAAAAAATGATGTGTAACTCGTTCCTTATGAGAGATGTTCCATGCATGATTAGACCTTCACGTATTTATATCATATTTCTACTTCATTAATTCGTCGTGGGCGCGTGTGGCGCAGTGGTAGGGGGGTCCCCGCGGTACACACATGAAATCGATCCCAGCGTCCGTGGCTCACTAAACCTTTTATCCCTTCGGGGTCGGCAAATTGGTACCACACTTGTCTGGGAGGATAGCAGCACTAGCTCGATACATTGGTAAGCAAGCAAGTAAAGGCCATATATCCATTCAATCACCTCCATACGATGCTTAGTGAAGTCGAATGCATGGCGCATCCCTCAGGGATTGATTAAAGCCGAGAACTTCATCCTTTGTCCTTTTACATCGTCATTTTCAGGTTCTGGGTTCGGAAAATGAATTTCATTTTGTGCAACCAGCATTATCACATGCGAGAACGAAACAATCAATTGGGCATCACGCAAAATTACAGAACGATGACGATGTGGGCAATAGAAACTAAGTCGCTTCATATTTTTATTTCATTAAAATATTAACGAAAATCGTTATGGTTACTCAGAAGCCTATGATTAAATGTAAAGAGCATGATCAGTGATATCTGCATTGTTTCAGAGTTGTTATTTCAGGTTCTACATGCTGAACAACTCACCGGATACAAACGTATGAAGCGAGGGTACAGGTAACAGTTTCTTCATGTTATGTAAAAACTCGTGGCTTTAGAAGTCTGGTAATGGACTGAGTTGCAGACCACTAGCAGAACGTCTACAAAGCCAATTTGATTTCTCCTCTGTACAATCTCCTACTGATCCACTCTACAGTTATCAATGGTATCTGGTGAGTGTTGATGGAATCATTTTGGGTTTGTTGATTTATATCTTCTACAGTGAGAAATACATTTTGGTACAAATCTAGAGTTATTTTTCACTTCAACACAGAGTAGGATGCTTAGATCCGGGTTGGCAGCCGCATTTATTTGTCGCCTAATTTACCGCTGTACTCGCTATGTGTTGATGGTAACTCGTGTCGACCTAGTCGCCCCTCAAGCAGATGTCTCAACTCCTTTTGTTCTGCTGTTTGCTGAATAATTAATTCCTTCTAGATAATATTAATTGGGATGTTCTGTTACAGCAACGATTTCTATGAATACACCACACGTCTGTGTGTCTTTTGTAACTGTTTATTGTGCTTCGTAATACTTGGACACCTGGACCGTTCGTCCTCACTGGTTTTGCGGGCCCCAGCATAATCTCCATTTTTCTGAGTTTTGCTGGTTTAGCTATCGTGTTTCCCTGCAGTCCAGGGGCCAGCTTGGCCAAATTCTGCCCCAGGTCGTCACCACAGTCAGTCACTTCCTTTGTGGATCAGAGGGAGATTTGCCATTATGTGACTAGTTTGATATCTGTTTCTCAAATTAGGAGATCCTGCCGGAGAGATGAATCCCCCCGCTATGCATCGCATTCTGATACCGGGGAGCACCTCCCAGCCATGATGAGGCGGAAGCCGTCTGGAGTTGTATATCGTAATACGATCGCTATACTGCTAAGAATAACACTGTTAAAAATCTCCACCTTTAAATCATGAGTCGAATCTATTGTTAAATAGGCTAAAAGTGGCCCAATAAGTGTTCAAGGGATATGGGTGCTCAGATTGGTGAAACGCAATTGTCATTCACTTCTGACTGTTGTTATCTTATCTTATCTTATTTTAAAATTTAGACTGTTTGATTGCTTTCTTTTTTCAGAAAAACGTCGGCCAAGCGGGTGGAAAAGCGCGTCTTGATCTGAATGTCGAAAAAGTATCTTTTATTTCTCATACACATATTTGCCTTGTTGTGGATTGTAACTAGTTCTATATGTTAGATTGCCCATGAATGATTTGGTGCGAGTCAGTCGAAGTAGAGGGAAGATGCCAAAAGTGTTAGCTATGAAAGTAATTACATAATGTGTTTAAAAAACAATGCAAATTCTAGGCATGGGCATTAGGATTCACAGGGAAGAACGTCACCACGGCAATTATGGATGATGGAGTCGACTACATGCATCCAGATCTCAAGAACAATTTTGTACGTCTTTTTCTCTTTTTGTAACGCAGTGGAGATTCTTGGATTCGTTTTGTTTTGCTACTCCGTTCATTCGGAAATTTGATATCGTCTTTGATGTTGTGTGATTCGTAACCAATTATGCTTTAAAACAGAGTCCGACGTATGTTGATATCCACTCGCAAGGTCCAGAAAATAATGACCGGTTTCAACTTTAAACCAACATATCTCAGCCCAATTCGAAATTTTTTAGTTATAATAGAAACCATTAGAATCCAAAAATCTTGCTTAATGGGCAAAAGCTCTCTTGTTTTACCAGACTGAAATTCGGGTAATTCAGCCGAAGAAATGTATTTTGTGCACTTCCTTACGTAGTGGCTCATATTTTGAAAATGAAAGCAATTCAAAAAGCTTTATTTCGTCTACAGAAACGCAGTGGTGTCCCTAAGTTCGTTTTTTATATGTTGTCAGAATTTTGTCGAGAATTGTGAAAACTCGAAATTCTTTTTAATTTCCTTCACATAACTCTAAACAACTTTGAAGATCAAATACTTATTTGGATACTTGGACGGCCCTTCCTCACTGACTGTGCAGGGCCCAGCATATTCTCCATTTTTTTCGGAGTTGTGATGGTTTAGCTATTATGATTCCCTGGAATCTAGAGGGCAGCAGACCAAGGTCTGCCTCAGGTCGTAACCACCACAAGCAGTCGCCGTCCTTGTGGATCAGAGAGAGATTTGCCGCCATGCGACTAGTCTCATACCAGGACGGTGGTGGATCTTGGTATTGGTTTACTTTTATCTGGGCTCTCTGATGGGAACGCCGGACTCTTTCTCAGTTTTGGATACCTTACTGGAGGGATGAATCACCTGCTGGACGTCACAATCCGGCACCCAAGAAAACTTCCCAGCCACGATAAGGCGGTAAACCGTTGGGAGGGAAGGTGAAATAACGGTTTTAAAAAGATAATGCTCATTTTTAAATAGATGGAGCAATTGTTCTACAAGCGAACCACGTTTTCAACTCCTCGAGTACTTCAGTTGTCGAAAATTATCAGCACTTTACAAAAAACGAACTCTCGTTTCTTAGTGTTAATGAGGTCTTCCAAGAACTGGTTAGCTTTATAAAGAAGGATAATTTCGTGAGATAGAAAATTTCTCCATTATGGTCCGAATATCCGCTGAAATGAAAACAGGCGGACGATTTTTAAGAATGCCGAGGCTAGTTACGATTTCTCATCCAACGATCCGTTTCCATATCCGAGATATACCGATGACTGGTTCAATTCACACGGTACGAGGTGAGATTGTTTGTGAATAGATTTCTCCAGATATACGAAACTTTTCACTTTTCTCTATATATACGTCTTATTCAACCAATAATACGCTTTTCTACCTAAGTGAGACATTATATATATATATATATATATATATATATATATATATATACATATATATCACAGACATATGCTACATTAACGGAAGTTTTTGAAAAATATAAAACGAAAACTTTTTAGATGCGCTGGAGAGATCGCTGCGGCTCGTGATAATGGCGTGTGTGGTGTTGGTGTCGCCTATGATAGCAAGGTTGCCGGTATTCGAATGCTAGATCAGCCATACATGACCGATCTCATTGAGGTGAGCAATGTGCCATCTACCTTAGTATTACACAAGTTTGCACTTCATTTGCTCGTTTATTCGAGTACAACTGTATTGTATGCAGTCGACATACAGAGGTTTGTTAACGATGTTTTGGCAAGGTAACTGGTCAAAAAACCTTGTGTTTTTAGAGCTGTCGTTGGTTCTGTTGTAGAACATGCGTGTTATTAAACAGACTGATAGTTTACTACTTCTTGTTTACCTTATTGTTCGTTTAAAAGTGATATGCATCACAATGGTGTTTCCAGGCCAATTCCATGGGCCACGAGCCGAACAAGATCCACATTTACTCAGCCAGCTGGGGTCCAACCGATGACGGTAAAACTGTGGATGGACCACGAAATGCCACCATGCGAGCAATTGTCAAAGGAGTCAATGAGGTTGGGTCGGAGTATGAATTTCATGGTTCTTATGTTTAGAAAGTATGTATATGAAGCATAAAGATGTCAGGTTCTCATTTGTTTAGGAATAGAGCTTTTGAAATAACATTTGCAGTAAATGCCTTGTAAGTCAAAGATATTTTGCAACTTGTCTTACCATAGTGATACCGAGATGTGACCAAAGCTAAGAACCTCAGGTGGGTTTCAAACCCACGATTACCCTTACTGGAGGCCTACGTGTTATCCTCCACACCAATCGTACCATGCTATGAAAAAAGAATAAGCCGTACCTAGAAGTTAACATGTTGTTTTGCGTTGCTTGGTTCCAGGAATATTAAATTTTTAGCACAGTTATTTCGTAGAAAAAATAAAGAAGGTAGAAACATCAAAACCAAGGAGTCGCATGGTGTGGTGGTGAACGTGCTATCCCTGGTAAAGGGTAATAGCGTGTTCGTTCCTCACCGCGGACACCAGCGGTCCAGAGTTTTTCAAATATTTCAGCATCACTATAGATGATTCAATTAAGTCTAAATATTTGTATATTTGATGTTTCTTAGAAGTAGCGGAGTTTGTGAAAAATAGAGGATTCATTGGTTTGCCAGTGCAATCATTTCCGTCACTGAGAAGCGAAGATTTAAAGCCTATTAACGAGTCATCTCCAACGTCTGAGTGATTTATTGTTATGTCAAAATCCTACGGCGTTTAGAAAAACGAGGAACTATCACAATATGTAGCGACTGTAGTTGTGTAAATCTTAGACATTATTTTTCATTTCTCATGTGAGAAAAGTCCTCCATCAGTTGTGGGTTTGTTATCGGGAACGACGCTCATAAGTACTGCTACTCGAGATGAATTTTGTATAATGCTCATTCTAAGTTTAGTTTTAGGGTTTAGGTTTTTTTATAGTCGCGGTGAGTTTTAGGGTCGTAACGGTCTTGGTTCAATATTCGTCTGGGCGTCTGGAGATGGAGGTGAAGATGATGACTGTAATTGTGACGGATATGCTGCATCGATGTGGACAATTTCTATCAATAGCGCCATCAATAATGGAGAAAACGCCCACTATGATGAGTAAGTAATACGATGCTTTATCCAACTTAGCATTACTTACTTAGTAACTTGAATACTTGGATGGCCCATCTTCACGAGAAATACGGTTTGTTCTATTGAGACTAGACTACTTTTGGAGATAAAACTTTTCAAGCAGAACAAACGTGGTGTTCGGAAAAGTTTAAATACATGGCTTTCTAAAATCACTAGAGGTAATAATATAGTATAGATAAAGAACGGGAAAGGTACAATAGATTTTCCGCGAATACACTTGGACGACAAGCTTAGGCACGTTTTTCTTTCTAAAATAAGACCAAATTAGAGGAGTCTGATGATCCCTAATGTTGATGGTGTCAATGGAAAAAGTGGGAAATTTTATTCCTACTTTTGTTAACCGACTTTCACTTAACGTCAATATAAATAATTAATATCTTTTCCTCATTGATAATCCAGCACGAGGTTTGTAGTAACTTTTACTCAGCTAACGTTTCAGCGATTTCGCAAAATATTTTCACTTACTTCACGTTAGCTCGTCAAGAAAGAAACGTGTGTTATCTGTACTACCGCCAATTTTGGAGGCAATTTTGAAAGAACCTTTATAAAGTGTCCATTTGTTCGCTTCGCATTCCAAAGTTGCTAATTGGGTTCTGGTCGCTCATAGAATACAAAGAGCATCATATTTTGCGGTTAGGATCTTCATAAAAGAATCTGACTATCGGCTAACTGGTCTTTCGGTTGTGTTCTTGACATTCCGTGGGACCTGGCCGCAAACAGCTTTTGTCTTGTGGTCGTCATTAGAATATGTAATATGCTCGGCTATCTTTTTTCTTTAATTTTGAAGATGTCCTTGGTCTGCAAACATTGAGATGAATCGGAAATCCTGATTTCCACTACCACTTTCATTATGCGGGATTCATTTTTGTTCTGTTGATATAGGGCCCAGGAATTTGGAATATGCTTGGAAACATGAAGACAGTCCCCAGCTGGTCGTTTCTTTTTGCCCAGCTATGGAGCTAAATCGGTCGCTATGTTGACTTTTTAACTCATTTATATAGTTGGAGCATTTAAAAGTATTCACTACGTTGACAATAAATGGGACACTAGAGATACAAATCCTTCTTTCTGTATACTTGTAACATTTTGTTTTTAAAATGCTTTTTTGGAAGCAGTTACACAGTATTTTAAACGGCAGTCTTCAGATCATGTTCTTCAACACTCGCGTCTACATTTTCAAATGGTGGACGAAATCCCGAAACCGGTGTCGCAACCACGGATCTGTATGGACGGTATGTTTGATAATATGCGAATAGGTAGTGTTTTCGTATAAAACAGATAACGTTTGGTAAGGTAGTGACCAAAAACAAAAAGTGCGAAGTTTTCTTTACTCATATCTTTACCAAGTAGCTGAGACATGATGGGATAAGTAGGCATTTCGAGATTACTTACAACTGTTCCCCATTTACCCAATAACAAGGTGAGCATCGGTTGTCATACACATGTGGTGGGCATTTTAAACGCTAAGCATCGATTTCGATGCATTTCCTTTCTTTCTATTTTTCTTTTGTGGTACCAACTTTATCTATGATGCTTTCTATATTTTATTGATCGGTGCTCTGTTACAAGTCTATCTCCGATGAATCCATTTTATATCTAATTATCTATCTATCTATTTTCTGTACTTCACACGTTGAAAAGTGGTTATTGTGACGAGTTTTCGTCTACATGAGACGGATTTTGATGGGAAGGATGTTGCAATGTTTGTGATCTGGATGTATGGAATCGTACGCATTCAGCTTAATGCATTTCGCGAATGGCTGAAAACTAGGCATAATTCCGTACCTGGACCATTTGAAATTTTGCGTCTTCGCCAATGTGTTGAAATATTTTGGAAGTTTATTTTATCCCACCTGAATTCATCATAACTGGAAGATAATAACTTGAACAACTTTGATACATAAGCCGTGCAGCAGGTAGCGCAGTGGTTATGATGTCGTTTACCTGGAGTCGGTGCTGCTTCGATTCCGTTCCAGAGTCATTTCCTTTCAACACTTGGGAGTTGAACATTATTGGTATCGGGGATGTCTGAGAACACTTCATTCTTTACAATCCAAATGGGAACGCTATAGCCTGGCTATCCCAGGACACCAGAACGAATCAACTTGACCATCGTTCAACGAAATTCACAAACAAGACAACGATCCTCAAGCAGCAGCCGAACCCACGCGCGAAACGTTTGAATACCTTCGTGGGAGACGGATGCGAGGAGATGAGTCGAATGCAAGTGCTGAGATCCACACAATGTGATACATATGATGACAAGCCATGTAATAAATAAAATGAAAAAACATACAAGCCAAGGATTGATTGCTTATTTAGCTGCACTCGATCGCACTCAGGGACCTCAGCCGCTGCTCCAGAAGCAGCTGGCGTGTTTGCTTTAGCACTCGAAGCCAACCCGAAGTTAACTTGGTACTGTTTCATCATATTTTCTAAGGTTTCGCTTTTAGACCTGGGTTTTTGCCAGCATTATAAATTTATGCAAATGGTTACCCTAACAAGTTAACTTTGAAGGCGTGATCTTCAACATCTGACTGTGCTCACATCGACACGTAACTCATTATTTGACGGACGTTGTCGCGATCTTCCTGATTTGGGGCTATCAGTCAGTGATTTTCTTAGCTCGATTCCTATTCAATTAAAGGAAATGCAACTATTTCAGAGCGATGATAACCAGAAGGGCTCTAAAGGCAATTGCACGCACTTTGAATGGCAAATGAATGGTGTTGGACTGGAATACAATCATCTTTTCGGCTTTGGTGTTTTAGATGCTGCTGAAATGGTGCGTTATATTGTTTATTTTACACTTTTGAAATTAGCCGTTGGGTTTAAAATGTATCCTGAGGATCCTCAAGGTAGTTGTAACTATTTGTATATTGAAATGTTTACTATCACTGCAACATCATTCATGAAACGGAACGAATGCATGTCTTTTGTAGAACGAATGATATTTAGGTTTTAGAGTCTAAGAATCATCTTAATGTTGAGCTTCACTTGATTTATCCAGCTTTAAAATCCTAGGTTATGCTTGCTATGGTGTGGAAAACAGCTCCGCCTCGTTATCATTGCACTGCCGGAACTATCGATACCCCACAGTGAGTTTACTTCAGTTGACATTCTTAAAACTATTTTAATTAATTCTGTCACAGTTCATTCTGGTAGGATTTATTACATTAGTTTCCTTTAAAAGAGGTTTATTTTAAGTTCAGCCAAGAGAATAACATTAATTTTACTACAATTATAATCTCTTTTCATGTCGATTCTACAATTTTCAGTGAAATCCCTGAAAATGGTAACTTGATACTTGAACTGGATACAAATGCTTGCCTCGGTACACCAACTGAAGTAAGATATCTGGAACACGTACAAGCCGTCGTCTCTTTCAACTCTACCCGTCGTGGTGACACAACGCTCTATTTGGTGTCCCCAATGGGAACTCGGCAAGAATTCTTTTAAATTATTGCAGAATTCGATTGTTTGAGTATTACAAAAGTAAATTCTCAGTTCCGTTTCTGTCGTGCATTGGAGCAGTTGATTGGACTTTGGTGAAGGGTGGCGTAATACGACATTTTTATTCTAGTTCATTTTTTTGTGGATGGTTTTGGCTAGGGAATAGCTTAAGCTACTTTTTTATGATATAGAGGACTTGGTATCACATTGATCGTCGAGTGACTCGAACGGGCGCTACTAAATCTTCCCTTTTTCCCTGTCGCGTGCAAGATTAGCCCAGTGGGTTATGCTCGCTCTAGGGACTCGTTGAGGATCATATTTTTCTTCTAAGTTTTTCATAAAGAACTCTGACCATCGGGTCGGTGATGTTTTCGCAGTGCACTCAACATCCGGAGGAATCCAGTCACTAACGGTTCTTGTCCATCGGTTGTCATTCATACGCATTACGTGTCCGGCCCACCTTATCTTCGACTGTTTTGCGTACAGAACGACATCTTTGATTTTTGATCGCTGACGCAGATCGGAGCTTCGGATCCCATCCTTACTTGTGTGGAACGGGATACACCTACCATCGTTCTTTCGACTGCGCGTTCGATAACGCTGAGTGACCTTTCACCCTGTTTATGTAGCGACCAGGTTTCTGACGCATACGTTAGGGCAGGAAGTACCGTTGAGTCGAAAAAGTGGGCACGGAGTCGGGTGTTCTTTGTTCTCTTCACTACATCCTCGATGCTCTTGAAAACTCCCCAAGCCGCTCGTTTTCTTCTACTCAGCTCTGGAGCTAGGTCAATCATCATCAATCATCATATCTGTTCAATCATCATATTGATTTCCCGACCTAGATAGATATAATTGGAGCATTCGGAGATATTTGTGCCGTTGAGCGTGAATGGGGCATGCGAAACCAATCCGTTCTTCATGAACATCGTTTTTGTGAAATTTAGTCGAAAACCAACGGTGCGGTTCTAGTGCTAATACTAAGTTTTTTTTCAATTTAAAAACTCTTCTATGAGGCAACTTCGGTCCAGGGTTTATTATGATGGATCAAGGGCTGTGTTGTTGGTCTATGAATTAACAACGTGAGGAGATTGGAATGTTCTCTTTATCATGAGTCGGTTTTAAGTAATGGCACTAATGAAACGAAACCGAAAGAAATATAGTCCTCGTTGGTCATTTTGCTTTATCATCTAAGCTTCTGACGTCTAATTAAACGAGACTGGATTTCTCAATATGAATCTCTGTCACATTTGTTGCGAATTTCCTGCGCCCCTAGCCGATTTGTAATCTCTGTGACCATGCAAGTGAGCGAGAGGATCCGAAGTCCAAAAGTTTTCGTTAACAATCACACTTGAGACGGTAAATGCCAAGATGTCAGAAATCGACTTGTCTCGAGCGATGGTGGGCGAGTGTGGCGCAGTGATTGGAGGCGCCACTGTGACACACACACACACGTGGAATCGAACCCAGCGCCCATGGCCCACCAAGCCCTCCATCCCTCCGGAGTCGGCAAATTGGTACCAGACTTGTCTGGGAGGATAGCAGCACTGGCTGGATGCATCGGTAGGCCACGGCGAGTCATTGTAAAGGCCAGATATGCATTCATTCACCTCCAACTGTACTTAATGAAGTTGAATGCACGGCGCATCCCTCAGGGATTGATCAGCGCCAAAAGCTTTATCCTTTTTTTATCCTCTAACGAGGGATGCGTTTTAACGATAGCTAATAGATGTACAGCCATTAGCAATCGGGTTACACACAGAGTAACAATGAGCGATCCAATGGCCAGAATTATTCACGAGAATTCTGGAATGAAAACGAGCTGTTGTTCATGTCGCTTCAGGAAGAGGAAACCACTGGTCAACTATTTGTCGGAAGGGAGAACCGGTGGTACAACATATCCATCCTCCTTCATTTCATATGACGAAGGGTGGACGTCGCTATCGAAAAAATCTGAGTAGTATTCGAGAATGATTTTCTCCATTTCTCTGGACACCTTAACTGTTCCGTTTGGGCGCCGGAGTGCAATCATTTTGGTCTTGTGATTACCGAAGTTTCGGTGGGCTTTGCAAATGCTTTTACCGGCCTCTAGAGCTTCTACCATTACAGCTGCTCTTCTCTCTTTAAGATCTTTTATCGCCTGTCTGCATCGTTTTGCAAGTTCGGACGTTAGTTCGCAGTTGCCTGCAGTTCGTGCGATTCCACACTGGCGTATCAACTCGAGTGTTTCTGGAGACAGATGTTTCTTAGTGACTTTCAAAGTCAGCTTTCATAGCGCTAAGGTGAAGATGTTGAATGAACCGATCGTATTCTTCGTTCCTGTTATCGATGACGGCATCTTTCTAGTAGCTGACTAGTGAATTGAATAAGTCCCAGTTTATGGTGGTTTTGTGACTTCGTTTTTTGAATTTAGCGGCTTTTTGTCCTTCCTGAGAGCAATGGAGTCTTGTACGAAGGAGGTGATGAAAGATCGTTCACCTCCTAGGACTCGGTATATCCTGAGATAATGTGGGCTGTTTCACAGTAGCGTGGAGCCTGTTTTTGAGGCGGAAGCCGAACTTCTTCATATGTTCCCGATTAGTCAGTCTGCACCTTTTCTGTTCGAGAAACAATCCACATTCGTGCACGTATACTATTGCGCGTATGCATCAATGCGATGAAGTGTTCACAGAAAGTTTTGTAATCGCTTAAGCAATTGCATGGTGACATGTTATGATTAAGAAGTTGTCTACGTGCATTGTGCTTGCAATAGTAACAGTGAACATCAACACCTTCGATTGTTGAGCAAACACGAGTTGATTAAAGGATTTGTTCGGCGAACTTCTCCACTTCTTCATCTTCTTCAGAGTCGGGTCGATCTATAAACTATTGAAACTATCAGAAACTACTGAACATCATCAGATCTTAAAAATGCCACTTCCAGGACAATGATTCTATCTCGACGTCCGAAAGATGAGGATGCTAAAGATGGTTTCACTAACTGGCCATTTATGACTACGCATACTTGGGGTGAAAATCCGATCGGCAAATGGCGACTGATTGCGAGATTCCAGGTGAGATCCGTTTTAGTTAACTCCCAGTATAATCATTTAGCTTTACTTTGCTAAATTGGAGTATTCTTTTGTATTCTTTCTATGCTCGCTTTAGTGCTTAATAACTGAAAGCATTGCGACTAATCGGAATGTAGCTAGTCGGCCTAAATAAAAAGATTCACTGCTATATTCCAAGTCGATATTTTTATGGTAAGAAGCTTGAAATCACCAATAGATCTCATGCTTTGCACGGCAGACCGATCTTGATCCTTAGAATGATACGTTAATAATGAATTCTGGATTCCAGGGACCTGGTATGCATCGTGGAACGTTGAAAAAGTTTTCGTTGATGCTTCATGGTACCAAAGAACCACCGTATGTTGGCATCGAACCGCTACTCGGCCACGTTAATTCAAAGCTGGAAGTCGTTCAGACTGCGCACAAACGAATCTCACCGTAAGAAACACCATTGCGGCATAATCATCAGCTTCCCATTCTGACTATGTTAATCATTTCATCCGATATTCTAGTTCGTAATCCTCCACCTAACAAATCAGATTTTTATTCGTTACTCTAATATGCTGTGCTGTCCGGGTTGTCTCCATCTTCCTAATGTCGTCGTCCTCTCATTCCCTGCATCCTCTCGTGTTCACCGTTTGTGCGGGCTCTCATCCATCAGAGATCTCATACGATTATTATAGATAACTCACCGGTTTCCAGTCTCATTTCATTCGTGTACTTATAAGCGGTGAATAAATGGCTAACTGTTGATTGTAGATAAATTATTACGTTACACTTTTTGACTATATTTTGTTCGTCAACTTGTTATAGTTAGAAATACTTTGTAAGTTCTGATGAAAATAGCTGATGTCTTGAGAAACTGAGCTGGTAAAAAATTAAGCAAAATAGTATATGAGAATTAGAAATAGGTGTTTACCGCCTAGTCGTTCAGTAGTTAATGATGCCGTGCAAGGGACACGGAGTTCTTGGGTTGGTTTCGCAATTCGAGCACACCAAATTCTCCATCCCTTCGGGGGTTGTATGCCGCTACCGTAAATATCCGCCCGGAGGATAAAAGATTAACTTCATGTGTCGGTGGAGGCCGTAACACGAAAGTTCTCTGTAGACTAAGATATAGATAGATAGACCAAATATGCCTTCAGTCATCGCTACAATGATCAGTTAAATCCATTTCACATAATGCGTTGATCTGGAGTTCTTTTCAGACGTATTTTGTCTGAGATATTAATTTTCTTTTTGTTTTGTTTTCCATTCAGAAATTTCTAAGGAAATACTCATTTTTAAGCTTCTAGACGTAAGTTCGGCAGTCGTAGACATCAGCGATACATTGAGAAACATCATAGCGTAGTGCTGGACGAAACGCTTTTTGTCCAGTCGTGTTGCTTGTCGAGAATGTAGACATCTAATAAAACTAAAGACATATATTTTGTGGGCTCGGGAGAATATGAATTTGAATATGAATATGATATATGAGGAACTATGAGGAGAAAAAGAATATGAGGAACTATCTTGCGTATATTGTTGGGAAGATCTATATACTCCAAGTGTTTCCGCTGTTTCCATTCGCATTAATAGAGTTGGCAATGGACTAAGATATGTAATGTAGTAAAAAGATATTATTTTCATTCACAGTTGAGTTATATGTAGCTCATGTCGTCAACAGTGTGGTAATGTCTGCGCGCTGTTGCCGTGGGGTGGCTTAGTTGATATTTGTAAACCAAAAAAGAAGCTAAGTTACCTTTCTTATTTACTGCTTACTACAATTTTCACGACAGGATATTATGTGAAATCAACCACAACGTGGTGAGATATTTGAAAAATCCGGAAGGCAGATGTCTGCCGTGGGGATCGAACACGCTATAACCGTTTTCGGGTGCTAACGCGTTCACCACCATACCCGTTACTCTTCGTTGGCCTACTAAATGCATAAATTTAAAACCATTCAAAGGGATAAACGGATAAAGGATAAAACTCTTGGCATTGATCAATCCCTGAAGGATACTTTGGAGGTAACTGAATGCATATCCGGCCTTTACAATGACCCACAGTGGCTACCGATGTATCGAGCCAGTACTGCTATCCTCCCAGACAATTCTGGTACCAATTTGCTGACCACAGAGGAATGCAAGGCTTGGTGGGCCATGGGCGCAGGGATCGATTCCACGTGTGTGTTGCAGAGTGCCTCCGACCACTGCTCCACACGCGCCTTTCGAAGGGATGTTAGCCTGAAAGCCAAAAAATATTAAACGATGTGTGCTTGAATAATTCCAGAACCCACTTCCAATTAGTTATCGGATGCACAGCAAATGACTTGGCTCACCGATAAGCGTACGCGAGGCTCTTAAAAATCGCTGCTGCCGAAGCATTTTGTTTAAATAAACCGTTTTCACATCCAGTTTACAGACTCCAGCACTTCTTCCATTTGATTCATCTCCTCGTTTGCCTAGCCCATCTACGATCGTCTTCGAACTTTTGCACATAGAACCTGCTGAGAGGCTGCTGCTTGAGGATTTCGTCTTCTTCATGAATTTCGTTCAATTCTGGTCAAGTCGATTCTTTTTGTAGTTCGGTCATAGCCATGTTAAAGACTTCTCAAGTGGATTTGAAGGAGTAGGCTGATCGGAGACATGTCTTATATCAATTTCTCAAGTCCAGAGGTATGGAGGCTTGTTAGAGTGATGTAGGAATGAACGTTAATCTTGCACGCGATAAACGGTATCACTACCACTGGACCAGCTGTCCCGTCATGCAAACGTATCAATAAACTAAGACATTTTAAGCATATGCTTGCTACTTGGTATAAAAGGGCGCATTGGTGTCCATATGTTTTCTTTGTTTCTTCACGCTACATTTGTCTTGTCGAGGAAGTAACGATTAAACATACTTCAGTGAGGCGAAATCTGCCGAAAAGCCATTTAGGATTAAATTGTTGTCCTGCTAACCATGTATCAATTCGTCAAATAATAGAAAAAGACAAAGGAACTTACAATTGGAACGATGAAAATATGAGAAAGAAATTAATTGGGGCTTGTTAAACCATCTTCGCCCGGTCGACCGAATTATGATAGATTCGGAGCTGTTACGAAAACCGCTTTCTTTCTAGAAAAATCTCGTTCCAGAGGCAGCAAGCTTTTTTCAAACCCACAAGGAGCAGCAAATATCTGTGGCGAAAACTTGGGAATGGCCTTGGCACAGTTATTTGCGTTATCTAGCGAGCTTCACACTTGACTAGCATGCAGTATATCAACAATGACAGATGTTTACTAACCATCAAGTCACAGTCGAATCCATTTCCACACTCTAGCAGCCTCCTCCGGCTGCTGTTGGTAAGACAGCGAAATGGATGGAGGTCATACTGGTTATATTTAAGAAGAACACCTCATTTTGAGGTAATGTGGTTCTCGTCAAATCTACGAGATTGGTGCGTTCTGTATTTAAAGCTCTCCTTTTTCTTTTCCGGTTTATAAAGGGCTCTTGTAGGGCTATCTATTCGTTACCAGTCTAGTACTATATGAGGTCTACCTAACAAATTTCTATCATTATCGATGTATTATGAAGTAGACTGCGCACCTAATATTCGAAGTTTCTTGCCACATTGTTCACGCTTCGTGGAGTCCTCTATAAGTAGTGAATAGCTAGGGAATAGTTTTTCCCATAATTCATTGTCATTTGTACTTATTTCCTTATTTATCTTGTCTCTAATTATTTCTCTGAGATGGCACTTTAGAGATTGCTTTGAAAAGAAAGTCAACGACGGTAAAAGTAGTTCAGTTCTTCAATGAAACAATAGTTCTTGGATATTGAACTAATGATGCCATGAAGGGTAGGAATTAGCTGATTCCCCTGTGCACATATTTTCACTAGTGATCGAATAGGACTATCCAGAAATGGACTCATTGATCTGTGAATTCTAGAACTTTCTCAGATACGATGAGCCGACAAGCGGATTTTTCTCGATGATCTGTTTCGTCCTCTGCTACCGTTCGTGTATTAATCTAAATTTCAAATTCCCACGACCGACTTTCTATTAACCTCGGCATTGATCAAGTAATTCTTCGTATTCTTGTTGAGCAAACACGAGGTATTACTTTTATTCTTTATTCACGAATAAGCTGACGTTTCCGCGGATTTCGCCTTCCTCAGAGCCTGGAAAGGTCAAGTTGACTGCCATCTACCCGGCCAAACATCTCCATAACCAAACAGAGAAAGCGCTAAACCAAGATTTCAATCACATTGAACACAGCTTTGCACGCTCACCGCTTTCTATGAGGCCTCCACTGCGTATGTCGCGTGAAGACCAACCGCACAGAATTCACATGGAGGCGTAATGTCCGCCGAAACGTCAGCTTATTCGTGAATAAAGAATAAAAGTATCAACTCGCGTTTGCTCAACTATATTTCAAATTTATGAATCTGGATCTTACTTTCTCGCGTACAATGAAACATTAAAGATATCTTCTGTTCTCATATCCAGAATTCTGATGCATTTCTCCTTTGTGAAAGGTTTCTGGATGAATTGTACCTCATTCACATATCAAAAATATTTCTACAAAACTGTCAAATAAACCTAGATGGCTTTTTAGGTTGGGATAAGATGAAGACATTTTGGGTTACCTTGAACAAATTTCACTATCGAAAGATTAACTTATTACTTTCTATGGATTCGTTAATAGGTTAGTGATCCTGATAAAGTATTCCGTTGCAATCACACAACGGAGGGAACACTGCTTCGTCTGAATGGAATGAGGCTTCTGAAAAGAACCGTTATCGAAGGTGAAAGTTAAGTATTTTGCGCCAACTTTGTTTGCAGAAATTATCGGCATCCCTCAGCAAATGCAATTACATCTACGTGAACCAGAAATGGGTTCCACGAAGTGGAGTTTTCTGTGCTGCCCGTGGGCTTCAGTGCAGTACTTTATAATGGGCTTTTGCGAACCGGATTTGGTTTAGACTTTAACATTAGATTTTGGCTGATATTTTCTGAAAAAGAGCGTCTCAAGATTAACAGTGTTCCACGAAGTAGCGACCATTCATAATTCACCAGGCTGTTTCGAAAGTACAGAAGAGACTTCACCTTTGTTTTGCAGTCCTCATTCTGCATTATCAAGATAAAGGATAAAGCGCTCGGCGTTCATCAAACACTCAGTGATATAGGATGCATTCTACTCTATTCGCAGCATTGTAGGGGTTATTGAATACCTATTATATCTGAGCTATACAACGACCTACAGTGGCCAACCAATGAATCAAACCAGTGCTGTTATCCTTAGAAAGTACCAATTTTCCGACACATTGAAGGGCACGGTGAGTCCTAGGGTCAAGATCGAACCATCGACCACATCATCGGTATATGGTAAGGTCTCTCTAGTCACTGCAATACACGCGTCATAGATAATCAAATACAATTCAAAAATGATATTAAACGTTTTCCTCCACCAT